AGGAAAAGCTTGTTCTGACAAGGATGTGCCACAACCTTTATACCTCTCCTTTTAAAGTGAAAGGGCTGCATCCACCCTTTCGGCTTCTCCCCCCCCCTCTGCTGGTGGGCTTTATGCACTCACCTCTTGGCTCCGTGCATACCACACTGGCTGCCACGCGGTGCTGGCACAGCCCTGGGCTAATCTTGCTCTGCTGACACTCCAGGAGGAGTGACTCGCCACCGCGGCATTGCAGCCCCTCCAGAAAGACGTAGTTTTGATCCTGGCTGACCCGGGATCCTGCGCTTTCAGCCTGTGCTGGTCCACAGCCCAGCTGCTTGCAAACCACCTCTGCCTCCAACGAGCTCCAGCTTTTGTCGCAGATGCTGTACCAGGTGGAGTTGTACCGAACCTCCACACGCCCTGCACAGGGGCTTGAGCTGTCCCGCAGCCGCACTTGCAAGGGGTTGGTGCCTGTAGGGAAGAGCAGAGGGTGTGATGTAGGCTCCTTAAACAGCAGGAGGCCTGAGAGACTAAGGGATGTGCAAGATACATGTGCTTTGCATGCCCATGCACTCCAGCAGGTATGGACAGGGATGCAAGATGCTGCCTATGTGCTCTTTGCATCTTTACCATGCATGAATTTCCCCTTGAAAAGCATCCCCAACATCTTACGCATCTGCACATAATGTGATGCTGTGGGATCAGGTCAGAGCTGACTACATCCCAGTGTGAGGAAAACTTGTGCAGAACCTCTGTGTTCCCAAGCGTGCTTCCAGCATCATCCCTGTAATCACCTGAGCACACCACTGCCGCATCTTCCTCGTGGTTGCAGTTATGGTTTCCCCAGTTATTCAGTCTGCACTGGGAGAGGCTGGCTTCAGTGCCACTGCACTCCACATCGTCCAGCCAGATGGGATCAGACCCTCCTCCGAAGTGAGCCTTGCCTGGAGCTGATGCTGCTGTCCCACAGCCCAGCTGCCGGCACACCACCTTAGCACTCCTTAAATTCCAGCTGTCATCACACACTGTTCCCCACTGCCTGTTGTGAAACACCTCCACTCTGCCAGCACAGCGATTCGGTCCATTCACCAATCGGATCTGCATTTCTTCCGTGGTGTTGGAGTCTTCTGCAAGGGGAGATGTGCGGTTTTCTGTTGAAGAGAAAATGAGGAATCTGTCACTATGCATCGCTGAAAATAAAAAAAAAAAAAAAGTGCTAAGAGTCGCTAAGGTTCCCCCTGACTAGAGGTGTGTTGTGGTTTAGCTAAGCACCACACATGCTCACTCCCCCCCCCCCCCCTTCTCAGTGGGATGAGGGAGAGAATAGGGGAAAAAACAAAGTGGAACTTGTGGTTTGAGGTAAGAACTATTTACAAAGATAGAAAAAAAGTAGAGGGAAAAAAAATATATATTCCATACAGTATGGATTATCCCTTTGGCCAGTTGAGGTCAGCTGTCCTGATTCTACTCCCTCCCAGCTCCTTGTGCCCTTCCAGCTCTTCACTGGCAGGAGAGTACAAGAAGCTGAGAAAACTAAAACATCCTTGACTCTGTACAGAACTACTCAGCAACAACTAGAAATGTCTGTGTGTTATCAGTATTTCTCCCTCAAAAAAACAGCACTGTAGCAGACACTATGAAGAAAACCTGCTCTGTCTCGGCTCAAATTAAGACAAGGTTCAACCTCTCAACCCTTTCTGACAAATTAATCTCACCTGGCTATGGAAGTAGGGCTCAGTTCCAGCTTCAGACCTACAGTTCCAGCTACAGTGTTGGTATAATCTCCATGTAATTATGTGAGGCAGACAAAAGTGCCAGTGGGGACCTGGCTGGTTAGTAGGGGGAGTCAGACCCTCCTGGGAGCCAAGACCAATGCTAGATTCACTTGGCGCCATGTGCGATTCCTATTTGTTGGTTATGAACTGAGCATCTTGGCTTCCTCAGCTTGGCACAGGGTTCATTGCCTGCTTTGCATGGTGGCCTGGGCTAAACTGGAGATGAATCCAGCCAAAGAAGAGGTTGCCCTATTTTGCAGAACTCAACTGACCTGAGCAAACCACGCCAGCATCTTCTCTGTGGTTGCAGTTATTCTGTCCCCATGGACGGGCCCGGCACTGGTGAAGAGCATCTTCAGTCCCAGCACAGTTCACATCATCCAGCCAGATAAGCCCAGTGCCTTGCCCAAAGCGAGCCCCCCTGGAGGCTGACTCAGCCCTGCCGCAGTTCAGCTGTCGACACACCACAGTGGCAGCCTGGAGGTTCCAGCCGTCGTCGCACACCGTGCCCCATTGTCCATTATGCAGCACCTCCACTCTCCCAGCACAGCGGCTGGGGCCACTCACTAGGCGGATCTCTGCGGCCTCCACTGTGTTATTTTTGTCTACAAGCAGAGGTGGGTAATGCAGTGTTTAGAGGAATAGCTATCCAGGGAAACTTTCTGGCAGTAGCAAGGGCAAGGGCAAGGTGAATAGTAACCAGAGCATAAACTTAGGGCAGATGCCTGGCCTTGGCAGAAGGCATGTTTGCAGTGACATGCACCAATGCCCATCTTCAGCATTTTGACTCAGTATCCTGTAGGGATGGAAATAAATTCCTTTCATTGTGCCTTACTTTTCCTCTAGGGTCCTGCAGGTCCCACACAGTCTCAGTGCAGAGCAAAGCACGAAAGGATATCAACCTCCTACACATTTAGCCACAAAAACTGAAGTTAGAACAAATATAAAATTAATAGATGTGTGCCAAGTTGGGGAATAAAACAGGTGAAAGGTCTAAAGGGCAAAACATATGAGTTCCCTTGGTTTGTTAAGCCACGAGTAGACTGAGGAAAGGCCTCATGGCTGCCTGCAGCTTCCTCATGAAAGAAGAGCAGGGGCAGATGCTGATCTCTGCTCTCCGGTGACAGTGACAGGACCTGAGGGAATGGCATGGAGCTGCATCTGGGGGAGGGTCAGGTTGGGCGCTAGGAAAAGGTTCTTCACCAGAGGCTCATGAGCACATGGCTTTTGGGTAAGGGAAATCCAACCCATGCTATTCAGGAGCCCCATATCTGTGAGTATAAGCATCACCTGAGCACACAACACCAGCATCTTCTTCATGTGTGCAGACGTTGACTCCCCAGGGTCTGGCCCTGCACTGTACGAGAGCATTTTCTCTCCCAGTGCAAGCAACTCTGTCCAGCCAGATGGGATCCACCCCTCGTCCAAAGGAAGCTTGTGTTGTGGCTGACAGCGCTTCCCCACAGCCCAACTGTCTGCACACCACCATGGCATCATTCATGTCCCAGCCATCATCGCAAACAGTTCCCCACTGCTGGTTGTGAAACACCTCGACTCTACCAGAACAGCGATGAGGGCCATTCACCAGGCGAAGAGTTGATGTGTCATCTGACAACACTGCAAAATGTGGTGGGGAGACCATGCATCAACACCAGTGAGGTGGGGAAAAACATCCAAGGGAGAGCTTGACCATCATCTGCCTGAGCATTTGCAGGAATGAGGTGTCCATCTGTTTGTAGTATGCGGACACCTTCATGTTTAAAGGATGATCCTTTGGAATCATTCAGGTGGCTGAGCTCTGAAACAGGTTGCCCAGAGTGTTTGTGGATATTCCATCCCTTGAGGATTTGAAAGCCAGGTTGTACAGGGTCCTGGGCAGCCTGATTAGTGGGTGACAACCCTACCCATGGTAGTGAGCTGGAACTGGGTGGTCCAACATCCCTTCTAACTCAAGCAGTTCTGTGATTCTATGACTCCATGAAAAGCCTCCAGAATGTGGGCAACCTACTCTTAGTGGATCTACCTGAGTGGTCCAGTCAGACCACATAACTTCCGGAGTCTCTTCCAACCTCAACCATTATGTGTGATTCTGTGATTCAGTGCCCCTTGTGATCTTGCTGCCTTGTCGGGTGTGCAAGGACAACTTAGAGAGGGAGTTCACCCTAAGACACTCTCTTTACGTTATTTATATTGTTATGGGTATCATCATGGAAAAAAGCTCTTCTCACTGTCACAGAACTGTACTTTTCTTGCACCATCCTGCTCTAGTCCTCCCGAGATATGTTGCGTATCAACCTGTCTCCAACAATGTGGCATCCATAGCTCACCTGAGCATTCCACACCGGCATCATCCATGTGGGTGCACAGTTGGATTCCCCATGGAGACGACAAGCATTCTGAAATGGAACTTTCTGTCCCGATGCAGGATACTCTGTTCATCCAGATGGGATCTGATCCCTGGCCGAAGTGAGCCTGGACAGGAGCCGAGAGAGCAATGCCACAGCCCAACTGCCGGCACACCACTATGGCGTCATTCATGTCCCAGCCGTTGCCACACACGGTCCCCCATCTCTCGTTCTGAAACACCTCCAACCTCCCGGCGCAGCGGTGTGGACCATTCACCAGCCGCACTTTGGCTGTAATCTCTAATTGTGAGTCTGAAAATGTGATAGGAGTGATAAACCCTCCAGGAAAATCCTGCACTCCTCTCTCAACCCCTCAAAAATACACAGATCCAGGACTGGCCTGCTGCAGCATCACCATGAAGGCAGTAAGATGCAGGACAGAACCCATCACCAACTTGACCCCAGTGGTGCCCTGTTTTGCAGAACTCAACTGACCTGAGCAAACCACGCCAGCATCTTCTCTGTGGTTGCAGTTATTCTGTCCCCATGGACGGCCCCGGCACTGGTGAAGAGCATCTTCAGTCCCGGCACAGTTCACATCATCCAGCCAGATAAGCCCAGTGCCTTGCCCAAAGCGAGCGCCGCTGGGGGCTGACTCAGCCCTGCCGCAGTTCAGCTGTCGACACACCACAGTGGCAGCCTGGAGGTTCCAGCCGTCGTCGCACACCGTGCCCCACTGCCCATCATGCAGCACCTCCACTCTCCCAGCGCAGCGGTTGGGGCCACTCACTAGCCGCAGGGAGTCGGTTTTTGAGGTGTCTGTCACTGAAAACACAATCTGGGATAAGCCCTTGGAGAAATTCATGCCTGTCCCTACCTCCATGATTTCCACCTTTGTCTTTTCATGTAGGGAAAAGTGAACTTGTTGTGCAGTTCACTCCATGGATGTACACAGCAGTAGGACAGTCCAGGCAGCTATTTCTGGGCTGCATCATGTGCTGCTCAGCTGGAATAATGGGTCCTGTCCTTTAAGATGAATCCATCCTTTAGGGGCAAAGATGTTGGGCTTGGAGTTAATTACAACCCAGGTTTGGAGTTAGTCATGATGTTCAGCATAGTGATGATCATTGGATAATAGGACTGTAGAATCATGGGATCATAGTGTCATAGAACCAGAAGAATCACAGAATCATAGAACCGTAAGACTTGTAGAACCATAAGAATCGTAGAATCACAAAGCCACAAGAATCATAGAACCATAAGAATTGTAGAACCATAAGAATCATAGAACCACAAAACCACAAGAATCACAGAAGCATGAGAATCATAGAATCATAGAACCACAAGAACTGTAGAGCCGTAAGAATCGTAGAACCACAAAATCACAAGAATCATAGAACCATAAGAATCATAGAATCATAGAACCATAAGAATCATAGAACCATAAGAATTGTAGACTCATGATTCATAGTGATAGAATTATAGAATCGTAGAACCACTGGATGTTTGGGGTTGGAGGGGACCCTCAAATGTCATGTAATCCAACATGCTTGCCATAAACAGGAACATATCTCACTAGAGCAAGTTGCTCAAAGCCCCATCCAAACTGACTTCAAACATTTCCAAGGATAGGGCATCCACAGCTTCTCTGGGCAGCCTGTTCCAGTGCCTCACCACTCCCATCATGAAGAATGTCTTCCTTATATCCCATCTAAATCTCCCCTCTTAGTTTAAATCCATTGCTACTTGTCCTGCCACTGCAGGCCCTGGAAAAAAAAGTTTGTCTTCTAAGCCTCCTTTATGTATTGGTAGGCTGCATGGAGGTTGCCATGGAGCCTTTCTCCAGGCTGAACAACCTCAATTCTGTCAGTTCTTTTGTTGTAGGCTAGGCACTAGCTCTCTGAGCATCCTTGTGATCTTCTCTAGACTCTATCAGGTCCACGTGCTTCTTGTGCTGGGGACTCCAGACATGGATGCAGCACTGTAGGTAGTCTCACAGGAGCATAGTAGCGGGGGACAATCCCTTCCCTCCCCCTGCTGACCACACTTCTTGTTATGCAGACCAGGATACAACTGCCTTTCTGAGCTACAAGCACACACTGCTAGCTCAAATCCAGAGGAGGTCCTGCCCCTGTAGGGAGCAGTCCTGTGAATCCTGGCAGTAGAGCAAGAGGGCCCCCGCATTGCCTCCAGGAGTGCAGAGCCTTCTATGAACTCCAAGATCCTTGAACACAGTGCTGGCCCCTGTAATTCCATGTGTTGCAGGACTTACCTAAGCAGACCACACCAGCATCTTCTCTGTGGTTGCAGTTATTCTGTCCCCATGGACGGGCTTGGCAACGCGGGAGTGCATCCTCGATCCCAGTGCAGCTCACGTCATCCAGCCAGATGTACCCAGTGCCTTGCCCAAAGTAAGCCCTGCCCGGGGCCGACATCACTGTTCCACAGCCCAATTGCCTGCACACCACCTTGGCATCATTCAGGTCCCAGCCATCATCGCACACCGTCCCCCACTGCCCGTTGTGCAGGACCTCCACTCTCCCGGCGCAGCGGCTTGGTCCATTCACCAGCCGTACATCAGCTGAGCTCAAGTTTCCTGCATTTGCAGACACCTCAAGGAAATTCATGCATGCATGATTGCAGAAAACCTCCTTCAGTCCCATCCCATCTCATCCACATGCATCCCACATAAACAGCAGGGTAGCACCTGCACTAGAACATTAAAGACAAAAGGATTTCCCCCCCAGAAAGGGCTAGGCACTGCGGATTAATCACAGGAGTAAACCTCAGATTTTGCCAGGTGTGAAATTTGGCTGAGAGATGCTGCATCGGGGTTTCAAGAGCAGGAGAAGCAAATAGAAGAGGTCTGCAAAAGGAGCATGCCTAAGCCTGCCCCATGCACCGCATTCCCTCTGGAGAGAGCCATAAGATTGCTCTGGCTCAGAGGAGACCTGTAAACATCATATAGTCCCCTGCAGGGACATCTTTCTCTGAAGCAATTTGCTCAAAGCTGAATCCAACCCAACTGGACATTTCTAATGATGGGGCATCCACAACTTCACTGGGCAACTTGTTCCAGTGTCTCACCACCGTCAACATAACAAAATTTCTTCCTTTTATCCCACCTAAATCTGCTCTCTATTAGTTTAGAACCATTGCCCCTTGTCCCATCATTACAAGCCCTGGTAAAATGTCTTTCTCAGTCTTTCTTATAAGCCCTGCCTCCTGATGACCCCAAGTCTCACCTGAGCACACAACACCAGCATCTTCTCCATGATGGCAATTGTGGACACCCCAAGTCTTAGCTGCGCACTGTGAGATATCATTTTCCTCCCCTGTGCAGCGTACTTCATCCAGCCAGATCTGGCTGTGTCCCCACCCGAATCGAGCCGATCCCGGGGCTGACAGCGCAGTCCCACATCCCAGCTGCCGACACACCACCGCCGCGTCATTCATGTCCCAGTTGTCATCGCAGACTGTCCCCCACTCATTGTTGTAAAACACCTCTACCCTCCCAGCGCACTCACTCAAACCATCCACCAGCCGAAGTGTGGAAATATTGGAAGTCCCCGAGCCTGAAAAACACGCAGGAGTAGGCATTATAAAGGTTATGCTCATAGGGTATAAAATCTAATGAGCTGGAGAAGGATGAACATCCCTGTAGTCTGTCTAGGGGGTATTTCCACAGTAAGCTGCATGATCTAGGTTTACTTGATAGTTACCTACTTCTTGGACTAGAGGAAATGGCAAAGGACATTTTTCTATTTGTTGTTTGTGCTTTCCTCACTGCTGACCATCACACTGATCTATCCATGGAGGTTTCTCTACCAAGACAAGTATTAAATAGCTACAGTGTGTGTATCATATTTCCCTGGCATATTCCAATGCATCTTTTCATATTTATCCTCATGACCTGGCATTTAGCAGCACTAGAAGTCACTCTGCATGTTCTTAACCCAGGATAGGGAGGTGCTGCATCTGCTGCCACCCAAAGAAGCATTGTTTTACTCTCCTGCTACCACTCCAGGAAGACTGCAGATGCTTTTCCCCACGAAAAATTGAACACCCCTGGACATCTTCAGATATTAAGGTGTGTCTTAAGGTGCTGCTTTTTCCTACTGCCCATGTCCCATTCTCCACATTTGTCTATGTGTCCAGTAGCTGTCTTTTTTAACACAGTTTCCACCAGTCTGAGAGGTCCTGGACACAAGAACTATAGGCCAGCTTGCCCTCATACTGTTCCCAACCCTCAGCTTACAAGTTGGGGCTTGATCCATCTGCAAAGAAGGCACTCAGTGATGATTACCTGAGCACACAACACCAGCATCTTCCAAATGGCTGCAACTATAGAGTCCTTTAGGCTTGACTGGGCATTCAGTGAGGGTAGCTTCTGTCCCAAGACATCTCACCCCTTCTAGCCAGATGGGGCCAGACCCTCGCCCAAATGAAGACATCCTTGGAGCTGACACTGCCGTCCCACAGTCCAGCTGCCGGCACACCACATTGGCATCGTTCAGATCCCAGTCATCATGGCACACCGTCCCCCACTGCTGACTGTGAAACACCTCCACCCGTCCAGAGCAGCGGTGTGGGCCATTCACCAGCCGTAGGGCTTCTGGGCTCCGCAGGTCTGCATCTGAAAATATAATCAGTGTGAGAATAGATCATGGCCAGAAATTCCTGCCTGTCTGGTTGCCAGTAACATTGTGGATCTCTCCATCCTGCAATTTAGCAAGTATTGTACTTCTTGCATTGTACTTTTGCTAATGCCACACATGCACGCATGAACAATCTTTAGATCAAGAGTGTTTTGCCCATGCCCTACATACTGGCCAAATCCTTGCCACGTATTTGAAACTGAAGTCATGCTTTATGGGAAAAGATCAAATCTGGAGTCTCTAGACTGTAGATACACAGGTGCTGAGATGCTTGAGAGTGCTACATCCACATCACCTTATGCACCAGCAGCACACACAGTCTTAGCAGCATGAAAAGAATGTTCATCATCTTCTCAGCATGCATGCTGAGATGTCAGTGTCAATCACAGCAGACAGGTGAGGACTGCAGTGAAACAATCTGCTTATGCCACATGAAGTGTCTGCTTCACTGGTAGCTTCACTCCAGCTAATTCTCCACCACCCTTTATGGAGGGTCCATGTACAAGGTGCAAGCTGGCACTTGTTTTTTTTCATGCTTCCCCTCTCCTGTTTCTGAATCTACCAATGAGAAAGGCTGGGTATTATTGAGTGTAGTACCCTGATAGAAACACAGAAATTCCTGCATTCCTGACATGGTGCTCAAAGAGGACAGTTTCTGTCCCAGTTTGCCAGACGGGGCCATATCTTTATCCAAAGTAAACTGCAGCAGGTAGCGCAAAGGCAAACACAGCTGATCAATGCAGAGAGCCACTAATCACTCAGATAAAGTTATTGCATAAAAGCAGCCCTCTGCCTGCCCGCAATACATGCACCCTTTCCCTGCTTCATTTTTGCCAAGAGCGAGTGTGCTGCATGGGAGAAGAGGAGAAAGACATTAATTACTGAAGGTAATTGCAAGGAATAGTGTGGTAAAGAGAAAGGACTTCCCAGGAACTGTAAGTAGCATGGCTGAGGAATAGTGACTGGAAAAACACAAGCAGAGTAGCTGCCTGGACAATACAGCCCTGCAGCATCAGGACTACTTGTGTTTTCTCCCGGTTCAGACAAGATAAGGAAGAGTTGAATGGTGAATTTACAGGGACAAGAGGCATGACCTCCCAAGGAGAGGGCTGATACCTGACTCACCAACACTGACCTACAGCCTCAGAGCACACGACACTTGCATATCCCTTGGACTTGCAGCTCTGGGCTCCCCAGAGCTTGACTTTGCATTCAAAGAGGGCTCGCTCCATCCCTATGCACTCCACGGCATCAACCCAGGTCAGATGAGGTCCTTCCCCAAATCTGGAAGAGCTTGAGGCAGAACGTGCTGCCCCACAGCCCAGCTGCCTGCAAACCACATAAGCTTCAGCCAGGTCCCAGCCATCAGCACAAACAGTTCCCCAGCGCTGGTCATGAAAAACTTCAAGCCTTCCAGAACATTTATCAGAACCATTCACAAGGCGGAGATCTGCTAAGTCAGAAATGCCTGATCCTGCAACATCAGAAAAAATAAACATGTAAGAGGACACCTTCTGTTCTGTGAAACTTTGAGCTACCAGAAATGCATTTGCACAAGAGGCTGAACAGCTTTGGGGTCAAGGACAGTGAGGGATAGGGATGACTTTTGGATGTGACACCAATTAGCTGGAAAAAAAAAAAAGAGGATTTGGTGCCCAAGGCTTGTTCAGAATGGGCTTGGGCTTGATTGGACTAAAATTCAATATAGTTTAGGCTATTTGACTGATGAGAAGCTGCCAGAATTTGTGCTAAATGACACCAGTCAAAAGCATGCCAGAGATCTCATTGTGGAGATGCCAGCACAAATGGGCTATAGCCATTTAGTTTTCTTGAGCTTTATCAGAGTATAGGTGCGGTCCTCCATCCAAAGGTGAATGATGAGGGATTGATTTCAAAAGTCTCCATACCGGCTGCAAATTGTTCTTGAATCACAAGCCCTTACAACCACATGGAATCACCAATTCAAGCTTCAGGAATGCTTGCTGCTGTGTGATGTTTACCTGAGCACACCACACTGACAACTTCATGATGATAACAGTTGTGGATACCCCATCCCTTGAACTTGCATTCAGAGAGAGCAGCTTCTGTCCCTGTGCAGTTGACGTCATCCAGCCACATGGGTCCCTGTCCTTGCCCAAAGTAAGCCCTCGGTGGAGTTGATATTACCGCCCCACAGTCCAGCTGCCGGCACACCACTGCAGCATCCGAGAACTCCCAGCTGTCATCACACACCGTTCCCCATTGCCCATTGTGAAACACTTCCAGTCTCCCAGCACAGCGACCTGGGCCGTCCACTAGTCGAATTGGAGCAAAACTGGAAACAACTGAGCCTGCAAGCAGAGAAGCAACTCAGTCAAACCCTGAACATCCATTCAGTTTCTGTGCAGAAAGATGAGGAATGTTCATTTTCATTGGCAGTGCTTCACAGAGCGTTGTGGTTACATTGCCTCTGAATCCACAGCACTGTGGAGACACTTGTTGAAGGATCTGAGAATATTTGCTCCAGCAGAAAGTTGGGTAAATCATAGAATCACAGAATCAGAGAATCAGAGAATGGCTTGAGTTGAAAGGGACCTTAAAGATTATCTTCTTCGAACAGTAGCCATCTTCCATCCAGTGGGATGGTGGAAGAGGACCTGGCCGTATCGGAGCAGCTAGTATATCCCAACCCAGTCCTATGCACTGAAACCCACCTGAGCACACAACTCTAGCGTGCTTTCCACGGCTGCAGCTGCTCTTTCCCCATGGGCTCGCTCTGCATTTCGTAAGAGATGGTTCTGTTCCGTCGCAGCTCACATTGTCCAACCACACGCGCAGAGATCCAGCATCCAAGTGTGCTTCACCTGAGGCTGACAGTGCTGTCCCACAGCCCAGCTGACGGCACACAACCTCGGCATCCTTTTTATCCCAGCCATGGTCACACACAGCTCCCCACATCTCCTCGTGAAACACTTCAACTTGGCCAGCACAGCGATGTGAGCCATTCACCAGTCGGAGATGAGCAGGCTCTGGGATGATCGAGTCTGCAAATATCCAAGAGTGTTATAAATGCTGGAAATTTCCTTCTGTAAATCCCTTCTACATAATTCCTTCCTTGCTTATCTGCTTACACTTAAGCTTCTGGCTCCTCTTCCAGTCACTAAAAGGCAAGGAGGAGGGGAGAGTAGGAGGGTTTCTCTCTGTAACACAATACTGCTCCCACCGCTTGCACTACGCAAGTTTCTAATCCCCACTCCCACCATGAAAAGCTCACTGGAGAGTTTATTTGCACCAGACTTTCCCCCTCGGTGTTATTCTTCCTGTTGTTGGACATGGTCAGTCTCAAAGGTTCACGGGGAAGGTTGTCTGCTGGAATTCCTCCCATCTTCCTAAATAAACACTTTGGCGTGGGAGGAAGGGACCCTCTTCATTCACCAGCTGCAGGACAAGTTTAGGGTGACCACACTGACTACTGATGCTGAAACCAGGTCCCAGCTCAGCTTTCCGTGAGGCATGGACCACATGTACCCACATCTTCTAGCAAGCTCCCTGACTTCCTTCAGAAGTGAAATGCAAGAGGAGCAGCACATACCTGAGCATACCACGCCAGCATCTTCCCAGTGGTCACAATTAGTGATTCCCCATGGCTTGGCCGAGCAGGCAGATAGTGAGTACTCAAACCCTGTGCAATTCACACCATCCAGCCACACGATTTCAGACCCTTGGCCAAACTGAGCCTGTCCAGGGGCTGACAGTGCTCTCCCACAGCCCAGCTGCCTGCACACCACATTGGCGTCCAGCAAATCCCAGTTCTTGTCACACACAGTTCCCCAGTGCTTGTTGTGTAAGATTTCAACCCTGCCAGCACAGCGGCTCCTGTAGTTCACCAGCCGGATCTGGTCACCCTCTGCATTAAACGAAAGAGCAAAAAATGGGAGAAGAGTTGGCACCCTGCAATCCACAAGTGGTTTCACAGCATGGCAAGATTATCATGACACTGGAGCTGATCATTTCATTTAATGACATCAGGCTTATGGACATTAGGCTCATTTCATAACCATGGAAAGGATGCCTGAGACCAGTGGACCCCTTCTGGCAGAGGGGCAAGAATATGGAACCTGAAACTTCCCATTGCAACCATGCCAAGGGAAACAGCAAGAGTATCTCCAACCCGCAGGTGTCCCTCGGCAATAAGGAAGCCACAGATGGCATATTATGTGCTGCAGAGGCAGAAAATTAAGGTGATGAACCAAGCATCGTTTCTCCCATGTCACTCGCAAGGTGGTTACCTGAACACACCACACCAGCTGATGTCCAAGGATGACATGTGCTGTTGCTCCATTGGCCTGTCTTGCATGTAAAGAGGGCACTTTCTGAGCCTGTGCAGTTTATGTTGCCTGGCCACATCTGTCCGGATCCTTGACCAAAATGAGAACCAACAGGAGCCAACAGTGCTTCACCACAGCCCAGCTGCCTACACACCACTTGAGCCTCAGCCATCCCCCAGCCATCGTCACACAAAGCTGCCCAAGTGTTGTTGTGAAAGACCTCAACCCTGCCTCTGCAGCGAGTTGAACCGTTGACCAGGCGAGGTTCCATTGAAATAGAAATCCCTGAATCTGTAAATGAAAAGAGAGAGACATGACTGTTTGATGGAGTTGTGCATCCTCTGTGCGTGGTGAGCTTGCACTAAAAACTTCTTTAACACCTTTTATGGCACAGAAAATGGTTGAGACAGACATGGGAATTCCATATTTAAGGATGGCATGTAAGAAAGAAGAAATAATACCATTTACAGGGCGTGCTATGAGAGGAGAAGAGGTAACAGCTTTAAACCAAAACAGGGCAGACTTCAATTAGATATAAGCAAGAAATTCTTCGCTGTGAGGAAGGTGTGACAGAAGAACAGGATGCCCAGTGATGATGTGGATAAACCATCATTGAAAGTGATCAAAGTTAAATTAGACAGGACTTCAAGCAACCTGAAAATTCTCCCTGCCCGTGACAGAGATGTTGGACTAGATGATGTTGGAAGGTCCTTTCCAGACCAAACCATTCTAAAATTCTATGAACACCTGCAGAAAGCTTTGCATGGTATAGGTTAGTTGTCCCCAAGACAAATCTGTGTAGGTGCGTGGTAATCCATGTATGTGATTGCAAATGCCCATTTGAATCTGGGGAATCCCAGACAGCTCACTTGTCTTGCAAGTCAGCAACAGTGAGAGGCAGCAGAGATAGAAGACATTCCATGGTAACTTGCCTGCATGCAGCACCAAAAAGTGACACTGTAATGAGCGCTCTGAGAACATGCTCAGTGCTGTTGAGCATTTACAAGATCCCTCACAAAACTCTGTGATATCTGTGAAATATTCTGTATGCTGTCATTTAATCTTTAGATCTGAGTGATAGTTACCTGAGCATAGCACTCCAGCATCCTCTCCATGGTAGCAGTTGTTGACTCCCCATGCACTTGCCTTGCAGTCGAAGATGGATTCCTCCGTACCAGTGCAGTTCACCTCATCCAACCAGATAGTATCTTGGCCTCTCCCATAGTGAGCCGCTTTAGTGGCCAGCACTGCTGTTCCGCAGCCCAGTTGCCGGCACACCACATTAGCATCATTGAGGTCCCAGCCATCATCACAGATGGTGCCCCATCTTTGGTCATGGAGGACCTCCACTCTTCCTGCACAGCGACTGGGGCCATCGAGCAGCTGGAGCCGACCGATCTTGGAGATGTGGGATTCTGCAGACAACACAAGAGGAATGGTTGTGGGCCACTTGTGTGCAATGAGGTACAGCAGGAAGGGGGACAGGCATGGCATGGAGGTCCCATACAACAGGCTGGTTGTGTCTACCTGAGCACTCCACGCTGGCATCCTCCATATGGACACAATTGTGATGTCCCCACGGCTTGGCCTGGCATTCGGAAAGGGCAGCTTCTGTCCCTGTGCAGTTGACATCATCCAACCAGATTGGTCCTGTTCCTTCTCCATGCCGAGCCCCTCGTGACACCGACAGCACCGTTCCACAGCTTAGCTGCCGGCACACAACCTGGCCATCATGGGCATCCCAGTTGTCACCACACACTGTCCCCCATATCCCGTTGTGGAGCACCTCCACTCGCCCAGCACAGCGGCCATGGTCACTGACCAGGCGGAGTTCTGCCAAGTCTGAGGACGCTGAACCTGTGGAATCAAGAGGGAAAAGAGGTCTGGAGGTGTCATCCTAGGGTAGATGGGGCTCAGCTGCTCACTTATTTGAGATGCCTCTGCCCCCTGGTGTTGGTCAGAGGAGAGGTTTCAGAGAAACTGCTGACTGTACTACTACTTATCTTCAGCTTAGTGGAGTCTGAAGAAAGACCTCTTTGTAGCCCGAGGGAAGTGGTCATAGCTCCAATCTTGTCAGTATTCAAGAAGAGCTTGGACAACACTCTTTAGATATATGATTTAACTTCAGTTGTCCTGGATAGAGCTAGAATTCAGGTCCTTGCAGGTCCTTTCCAACTCAGAATATTCTGATCCTACATGGCCAAGGAAACCTGAGATGGCCCTGTGTATCTGTTTATATGCATCTGAGTCCCATCCTACTGCTAGGTTGGGGTAATTCCAAGCACAGATACAGGTTGAGTGGAGAACGGCTTGAGAGTAGCCCTAAGGAGAAGGATTTGGTGGTGTCAGTTGTTGAAAGTATCAGCATGAACCATCAGTGTGCTCTTGCAGCCCAGAAAGATACTATATCCTGGGCTGCATCAAGAAAAGCGTTGGGAGGTGATTTAGACTAGATATTAGAAAGAAATTCTTTACTGTGAGGGTAGTGAGACACTGGAACAGTTTGCCCAGAGAGGTTGTGGATGCTCTCTTGCTAGAAGAATTCAAGGCCAGGCTGCATGAGGCTGTGAGCAACCTGGACTAGTGAGAGGTATCTCTGACTATAGCAGGGGGATTGGAACTAGGTGATCTTAAAGGGTCCCTTCCAATGAAAACCATTCTGTGATTCTGTGATACATGATTCTATGATTTCTCTCATTACTAGAGTGTGTCCAGAGAAAGGCAGCAAAGATGGTAAAGGGTGTAGAGGTGAATATGTATGAGGAGCAGCTGAAGCCGTTTGGTTTGTTCAGCCCAGGGAATACTGGGGGAAGCATGGTGGCCAGCAGATTTCTCATCAGGGACAGGTGAGGATAATTTTGGTGACATCAACAGAACCCGAGGGAAGGCATGGAAATACATCAGGGGAGAATCAGGCTGGGTGTTTAGGAAAAGGTTCTGCACTAGAGTGAGGAGGGCTTGGAACGGGCTGCCAGGAGCAGTGATCACAGCCCTGAGCTGAAGAACAAGTAGTGTTTGAACAGCAGTCTTCGATATATGGTTTAACTCTTAGCCTGACCAGTACTGAGTGAGGAGTGAGTTCCTTCCAACTCAGGATAATCTATGACTATAACTGGTGATTGTATTCCTGTACATGACCCGGGCTCCCTGAGGCAACACTAACAGTCCTGAGTGTTTGTAAGCTTTTAAGTGCCATCTGTGTATCTAAATGCCTGAATTTCCTCCTCTTAATGCCAATATGGATCCCACTCCCCAGGAGTTCTCTTGCAGCTCATGCAATAGATAAACGGTTGTATAACAGCTACACACCAAGTTTGGAGAAGTGGAAGAATTCTTATTCATGGGAAGGTTTCCTCACTCTGCAAGACCTGCAGCAAGACATTGCCTCTAGTTCCTTATGCGTGCTTAGCACAAGCAGTAACAAAGTGGAGCAATAAGCTAACTGGAAGTGACTAATGCACAGAGCCTAACGGTCAGCATAAAAATAAAATGCTGAAGAGGAATGTGCTTGCATTCTGTCAAGAGATTTTTGACCATGGAGGATGATTTCCAAAGAACTGGGGCACCAATCTGTGCTCAGCTCCAGCACAGTACTGCTGTTCCCAGAGCTGAGTCATAAGCTGTGTTGGGATCTGGTGCCTGCGTGTTCCCTCACCCAGGTACCCCATCCTCCACAACTGCTGAAATCTGAGCAGCTGAATGCCTCGTCCTCCTTTTATCCTTCTTCTACCAGCACAGAGAGCAAGGGGTAACACTGTCCACCTAAAATGGGACCTGCCTTCTGCAGGGGCACATCACTCTGCTGTTTGCTTTCATCTGCTGGTTCTCTGTCTCATGCCTGAGTTAGAACACTCAAGGAAGACCAAACAATTCTGGTTGGGAAAGTGCAAGTATTTCCCTAAATCAGTAGAGAGTCAGATGTAACACGTGGGAGGTCACAGAGGCCAGAAGGAGGAAGAAGCAGTGTAGAAATCAAATCCCTGCATCATTCTTAGACACGAGCCAGAAGTAGGGAGCCGTAGGCTTCCTGAAAAGGACAAACTGTCCTTGCATGTGTAGGCTGGATTAGCTCAGCTCTTTAATTTATAAGGGCAGAGAGTAAGAAAATGTCTTTGCAAAGACACCGCTAGAATTAACTTTGAAGATGAGTCTGAAATGGATGCACTGCAGGCACTCACTTCCCAGACTCATGCTCTCCATTCTCCACGCACATGGGCATTGTGCTCCCTTTCCTCATTTTTGCTAAAAACTACCCTCTCAAAAGCAATAACAAATCAACCTCACAGTCTAGACTTTGCAGAGCTGGTGTATTGCTTGGTATTTTTCTTTCATTGGCTTGGGCAGAGAATGAGAGGTCATTGCTACCCTAGGCAGTCCCAGCCCAGATGACTCCTATATGCCTAGCTGCCTGTACTGACAGAGAAAGCACCTTCCAAGTTTCATTTCCTCTAAACATGATCCGAAAAAGAGGGATGAGCTGAAAAAGCACTTAAATAGTGCCCAGATCAAATAACCCACTTCTGCTCTGAGTTGTGGCAACTTGAACAAAGCCCTAGGCCCCTTCTTAACCAATCCCATAACAAAGCCTGCATGGGGACATTGCTTTTACCCATCCTACCCCATGCAAATGAGAGTTGAGTTCACCTGAGCACCCTGTATCCTGCTATACCAGTAATTGTTTGCATTCAGCCCTGAATAAACCAGGGTTAAACAGGATAGATAAAAACATCTCTCCTGACTCCAAAACCATCACAAGATATTCCTTCTTGCCCCAGATAATAGAACCACAGAAACATAGGATCATAAAATCATGCAGTCATAGTATCACATTATTCCTTGGGTTGGAAGAGCCATTAAAGCCCATGTAGTCCCAACAGCCCTGCCATGGGCTGGTTGCCCCCCACCATATCACATATCCCACCCATCCAGCCTTCAAGGCCCCAGGGATGGGACAGTCAAAGGTACTCTGCGCAGCCCATGCCAATGCTAGCTATCCTGTTTCCTCCTAACACCTCACCTGAATCTCCCCTCAATTAGTTTAAAGCCATTCAGTCTTCTTCTATCACTGTCAGAACATGACAAAAAGTGGTCTCCTTCATATTTATCAGCTGCCCTTATGTACTGGAAAGACTCCGTGAGCTGTCCCCTCAAGAAATGAATCCCAGTACCCTTGACCAGCCTGTGCTGTACTCCAAGAAACCCTGGATCCCCACTCCCACTCCACTCCCACTACAGGAGCACACATTGCGCATGGGATCCCTGTGGTCAGAAGCAAAGCATCACTCACCCCAAAGGCACACCATCAGGAGGAGGACCCCCACACTCTTGGCTCCAGTGCAGGTGGGTTGGTTTCTGCCCCAGGGGAACCTGGGTGAGGGATGGAGTGCACCAGGCAGCCCCATGTTCACACATCCATGGGCTGGAAGCTGGAGCAGCACACCCTGCTGAGGGCCAGCAGCTGAGTGCCAGGTCCCACTGGCCAGCTGGGAGGGACAGAGAGGAACTGGGGCAGATGGGAGTGACAGGCATTTCAGCAGCAAGCCCTCTTCCTGTTCCCTCCTTTGCTCTGGGCTTTTCCCTGCTTTGCCAGCCCAGCTTCCTCTGCCCCTTGGTCACTTGGGCTCTGTGTGACTCTGTTCCAGCAGGTGACCCTCTGCTCCACGCCACAGCCTGCTCCTATCTCCAGGTTGTGAAATGGAGAGCTGTTCCAGGAACATACAGAGCAAACACAACCCTCTCTGCACCCTGGTCCCGTGTTCTACGTGCCAGCCCCAAGGGCATCTCCGTGGTCCTGCTGTGCCATGGGTACAGCACACGATGACTTCTGATGACCTAAATCAAGCTTTCATGTACAGGAGTTGGGGAAATTCTGCCTATTTTGTTTCATTAAATGTATCTGACTAGATTTTGGGGGATAAGAGTGCATCAACTGCAAGAAAATGAACTGTGAAATGTTGAAAATGCCTTTTAGATGGAGTCTGGATCCTGCATGACACTGAGCTGGCCGGAAAACACACTCATGCCAGAGGGAAAGGGGGAAATAAATATACATATAAATACACTTGAAGAAAACTTGTATTCTGCTCCATAAATTTCCCCTAACCAGTGTGGGTTCCCACTAGAACAATCAACATGGCCAATGGCTAAGGCATTTGTATAAGTTCACTGACATTCGGGTTCAGTTTAAAAGAAAATGGACAAAATTATTCTTTTACTCAATAGAAGAATCAGGCGAGGCACAGGAATTTTCTGGGTTTTTTTTTGTCTCCCATCCCTTGCAAAGTGCACAACCTCTTGGCATGCAATTTTGCAAGGAGGGGGTCAGAAGCATGCTACTGGGAGAAAAGAAAAAAAGAAAAAAAAAAAAAAGAAGAAAAAAAAGAGCTTGCAAAATCGTTAAATTAATGCCTCTTGTTGTTCCAAATGGGGATGTTAAAATTGTGGTGGGTGCTGTGCTAGTGGTGCACTGAAGATAGGGTTGAGGAAGGATGTGGCTCCAGTAGGAACAGGGTGGAGAGTTCTTGCCCTGTGTGTACAGAAATAAGAAATGAAACCAAAGCCAGTTATGGGAGAAGGATCTAGCATGACCAGGATGATCTTAGGCTGAATTGAAATGTTCAGCCTGGCAAAAACCAACAGAGTTGTAGAGAAGATAGTAGGAGGAATAAATAAGAGAAACATGAACTGCAGGGACATGCTGAGAGCATGCAGAGGTAGGGCTGCAGAGCAAAAGGAAAAAGATGTATATGAAACAAAAGTAAAGCACTAGTACAAGAATGGTGGTGAAAAGCTAGAAATGAATCCAAGCTCATAAAAAGAAGAGTAGTTGAGAAAGGCAACTGCTTTCTGTTGTAACAAAGCTCAGTGTGCCCAAGGACTTTGTTCCCCTGCTCTGTCAACAAACAGGACAGCAACAAAGAAATTCCTGACACTGACCATCTCAAAAATGCTATGAACTGTCCTAGCCTGACACGGCCAGTGCAGCTGTGAGCGAGAGTGCTTCTGTTTTCATAGCTTAGGCAAATAGCTGCTCTGAAAGTGAGTTGTGCTTCTGTGTCCCTTCTGTCCCTTTTGAATTTGTGTGCTGTGTCCTATGGGAATTCTGAAAATCCTTCCTGAGATACTGAGGTCCTTGCCCAAGCTCAGATCTAGGAGGTGCTGATCCTACACATTGGAGACATGAAGAACCCTCAGTAATCCAAGCTATCTGATCTGAACTTCCCTTAGTAATAGCAGCGCATGATTCAGGGGTTCTTTGATACATCTTCTGCCTTGAGGAATGCAATCATGTTCCTATTATAAAGACATTTTCTAAACTGTGAACATATTTTGTGAACATATACACACACAGAATGATGCTGATAGTTGATGCTTTGCTTATGCACAGGCTCCAATCCTTTTCTCAGGCAGTAACTGAGACTGAGCCTTCCATTTTCCCCTAAACTTTGGGACAAGCAAGGCTGGAGGACTAGGTCTTCCAAGGCAGCCAGAAAAAAAAAAAAAAGGCTCATATGTTAGCAGGGGATGTTTTTTTTTCCCCAACCCTGTGTTCACATTTCTGCCGTCAAACTGTGAACCTTAGAGACTTGCTAGGAACATGCATGAACCCTTTCCCTGTTGAGGAAGAAAAGTCTTTGGGGCGGAAATTTATTTAGGGGAAAATAAAAACACAGAAAAATGGGTTGGTATTGGAGCTGGCCCATCTTTGTTGATGATGTAGATGAGGGCAACAAATGTATGCTCAATAAGTTTGCAGATGAAGCCATGTTGGCAGGAAGCGTCAATCTGCCTGGAGGTAGAAAGGCTCTACAGAGGGGCCTGGACAGGCTGATTGCTGAGCTGAAGACAATGGGATGAGGTTCAACAGGATCAAGTGCTGACCAAGGCTGTGCTGCCATCCAGCAAGACCTAGACGGGCTGGAGAGTTGGGTTGGGAGAAATTCAATGAAATAGAACAAGGGCAAATGTAGAGTCTTGCATCTGGGCAAGAACCAGGTACCAGTATAGTCTGGGGACTAATCTGTTGGAGAGCAGTGTAGGGGAAAGGGACCTGGGAGTTCTGGTTGACAGCAGGATGACCACGAGCCAGCACTGTGCCTGTGTGACCAAGAAGAACAGTGGCATCCTGAGGTGCATTAGAAGGGCTGTGATAGGAGGTCGAGAGAGGTTCTCTTCCCCCTCTACTCTGATGAGACTGAAATATTGTGTTCAGTTCTGGGCCCCTCAGTTGAAGAAGGGCAGGGAACTGCTTTAGAGAGTGGAGCGCAGAGCCACAGATATGATGAAGGGAGTGGAGCATCTCCCTTACGAGGAAAGGCTGAGGAAGCTGGGTCTCTTTAGCTTGAAGGAGACTGAGAGGTGACCTCCTTAATATTTGTAAATATATAAAGGGGGAGAATCGGGAGGATGGAGCTAGGCTCTTCTCAGTGACATCCAATGATAGGACAATGGGTGCAAGCTGGAACATAGAAAGTTCCACATAAATATTAGAAAAAAACTTCTTCACAGTAACAGTAACAGAACACTGGAACAGGCTGCCAAGAGAGGTTGTGGGGTCTCCTTCTCTGGAGACATTCAAAACCTACCTGGATGCATTCCTGTGTGTCCTGATCTGGGTGTGCCTGCTCCAGCAGGGGAATTGGACTAGATGATATTTTGAGGTCTCTTCCCTGACATTCTGTGATTCTGTGAGTACTGCATTTTGGCCACAACAACTCCAGGCAACACTACAGGCATGGGGCAGAGTAGCTGGAAGACTGTGTGGAAGAAATAGACCTGGGGGGGTTGGTTGATACTCGACTGAGCATGAGCCAGCAGTGTGCCCAGGTGACCAAGAAGGCCAATGGCATCCTGGTTTGTATCAGCAATAGTGCAGCCAGCAGGAGCAGGAGGTGATGATCCTTCTGTATTCAGCACTGGTGAGGCCACACCTCGAGTGCTGTGTTCAGTTTTGGGCCCCTCACTACAAGAAAGACATTGAGGCCCTGGAGCGTGTCCAGAGAAGGGCAACAAAGCTGTGAGGGGTCTGGAGCACGAATGTTATGGGGAGTAGCTGAGGGAGCTGGGATTGTTTAATCTGGAGAAGAAAAGGCTCAGGGGAGACCTTATTGCTCTCTATCAGTCTCCGCATGAATCACAGGGGGCGTATTATGCGTAGCATCCCAGACTTACAGGGCGTAAAGTGCCCTGAGGATAACTGATCTGCCTGTTAAAGGCAGATGTAACAAAGGCATTGAGGACCTCAGCTTATTCCTTATCCTCAGTCGTCACATTCCCTGCTGCATCAAGTAAAGGATGGAAATTATCCTTGGATCTGTTCTTACCGTTTACATGTTTGTAAAAGGATTTCTTGTTCTCTTTTACTGCAGTGGGCAATCTGAGTTCAAGTTGGGCTTTTGCCTTCCTGACTTCCTCCCTGCATTCCTTAGCAACTTGCTTGTAATCGCCCCTAGTAGCCTGTCCCTTCTTCCAGAGAACATAGACTCCCCAGACAGAATGTCTGGGGTTGGAAGAGGCCATAAAGATCATTTTTTCTTTGACTTGGCAAATCTTCACCATAAACTGGTGCAGCTTGTGGTCATTTCTTCTCTCCCTTTTGGCACTGGGACATTCCTCTCTCCCAACCATGGACCCTATGGTCAATGGTTTTGGGATCAGAATTGGCTCCATTGGTTGATCCATTAGGAATTGAATCACACACAAGCCATTCGTTGTGGCTAGCACAATATCTTACCCAACATCAGTAATTTTCAGACTCCTATATCTGACCTGACTATCTATTACCCTTCCATAGACAAAGGACCCATTTTTCCATCACGTTCACCATGCGTAGACTTCAGGTTAAGTCTCAACGTATCCCAGAATACATAAATAATATTACATTCTTGTTCTTCCAGGTTTCAGGATTTTTTACTAGAATTCAAAAATTGGATTGAATAAATACAATGGGTGAGGTACTTCATTCTGGAGAGGCTTTGAAGCGCATTGTTCATTTTGCAACATTAGCTACGTACAGTTCAGTAGACCATCCTGCTCACTTCTTCATGGTTCAGGAAATGATTTCCACGGGAGATTAGAGGAAAAGGTGTTATCCCTGTTGGGGTGATGGAATGAGCAGGATTGTAGGGCTGGGAATGAGGGTTCTGTGCAGGCAAATGGTGTTGGGATGCTGGAGTCTACCTGGAGGATCATCCAAGGTTTATCATTTTGAGAAGATCTTTTTTGGAGACTGAAGGACTTATGGTGCTGTGTGTGGTCAAGGGTGAAACTGGGACCCCAAGAGGCTCTGTACTGTGAGCCAGGGCTATGGGCACACGTGATGGGATTGCTAGAGGAGATCTTCTTTGCTCTCCTCTTAGGGCGGTTCTGCTCCTCTGATTCCACAGAACAGTGTCTCTGCTGCTTTCTGAGGTCCTGAGAGCCTTGCCTTCAATATCAGAAGTGTGGCTAACTAAGACATCCCAGCATTCTCCATTTTCCTTACACGTGACTTGTCTGCAAAATAAAGGAGCAGGATAGTGCACAGAAGGTACAAACCCCAATCCCAGAAATGCATTCAAAAGCACAATGAGCCCTGCAGGGAGACCAGGGGCATCACGCATGGTGGTCGTCCTGCTCTTACCCAGGATGCGTCCAGCCTGTCTTCT